ACTTAATTTGATCTCGTTGTTGGATAGAATTAAGATCAACCTTTAACATTAATAATAGGTGGTCAAAACTCAGGCCAACATGTTAATCTAACGTGACTCTCATGCCAATGTGTTAATTAATTTAACGTAACTCATTAAGGGTATTTTAGGAATATTTATAGCTTGACTAAATTAATGATGGTTTGACCATTTAAAAGTGCAAAAGGGTAGGCAATCACAAATTTTGACGAAAGTAGTGGGCAATCACAAATCTTCCCCAATTTGCCGTTTTAATTTGGTATTCAATGATCAGTGGTTATGCTAGTATGCGGTATGATGTGAAAAATGCACAAAATTTTAATTCTTACACACTGTCAGCCATTCCATTGAACAATTATCTTTCTATTGAGTAGAAATGTCATCTTCATGACAGCTTGGTTAATTATGGGGTACTGCAACAACATTACACATTGAACTTTGCAGGTTTAGATAGGTTCTGGGAGTTTTAGCTTTGTATTCATGATTCAATAATCAGTAGTTACATGATCTATCAATTTAGTGTCCAAGGTTTGGGTTTGCTTTCTGAAATGTTTGCGACAGGTACTTATCAAATAAGAATTTTTCGCACCAGTGTTTAAATGAGCATGTGAGCTTGATAGTAGACCCTGATCACAACTTATGGGGACACCCCTGTGAGCTGCAAGGTACCATCAGTTGAGGAGAACAAGTTGCCGAGTTCGTTGTTCATAAGGCAATTTCGAATACTATGCTACAGCCTGCAGCAGACAATTGGGATAACAATAAATCACCAGTCCACCATTAGTGGCAGGAATAAGGAAATGGAGCTGAAGCATTTAATTTTTTAGTCCCACATTGCATAAATGAAATAATTTACGACTGACGTTCGACTTACAAATAGGTGAAGCAGAGGTCAGTGTAGAGCATGATCCTTCAGGCAGCTAACGGGATATGATGAGTGGTCAAAACTCACAAATTTTTGTGAGAGGGGTGTCCGCCCAAGCCTGGTTACGACACAGGGGCACTCCAATATTTTACCATCTGATCCCTAATCTACCTCTAAACCCCACCATCAAAACTATATGAAATTTTTTTTAGTCCCACATTGTGGAAAGTAAAGTTGAGAGTGTAGAAATGATCTAATAAATAACAAGTTACGTGTTGATAACAGAGTAACCTTCCCTGCCAGGGGTGCTAGGCGACTTGCTTATGAACGGCTAGTGATGGCAAGTCGTTCCAACACCTACTAAAGGCGAACACACACCTTTATAGGCGAGTGAGTTCACCCTACTTCGAGGTGACTTGCCCGCCAATTTTTGGAAGCCCTTCTACTTGTAGCAGGGCTCTGTTCAAAACATTTCAGCACTTCATAGTTGAGAAAGTACATTTGATAAAAGTTTACGCGGTTTGTACATTGCCGCTAAGGGCTTGGCCTTAAGAAGAGTGCCTCTATTCATTTCAAATTTTACTGTCATATCCACTGTTTGTCCCTCAGTGTTTTCCCAGTCGAAACATTGTATTAGTAGACCCAATGTCAGTCCCAAGAACCGTCGTGCCAAACCTTCCCCAGGACATGCTCTCCTTCCAATACCAAATGGAATCCACTTGATTCCTTCATTTTCATTTTCACTTTCACCCATGCGTTTTTCAAATCGTTCTGGCTTGAACATTGATGGTTCTGGCCATACAGTTGGGTCATGGTGAAGACCTAACTGGTTTACCAATAACATTGTGCCTTTCGGAATGTTGTAACCTCCTATGGTGCAATCGTCAGATGATTCATGTGGCGGTAAATATGGTCCTAGACTATACATTCTGAGTGTTTCATTAATGATATTATGGAGATATGGGAGCTTGTTTAAATCGGATTCACTTAGCAGTCTGTCATAACCTACAATAAGATCAATCTCGCGTCTAGCTTTATCTAGGACCTCCGGATGATTTAGAAGAAGCGACATTGCCCATTGCATTGTACTTGATGTAGTTTCAGTTCCAAGGTCAAACATCATCTGTTAATCATTATAACAACAATGTACTGTCAACAAAACAACTGCAAGAAATGGATGATTACAAGAGCTAATTAAGAAGAGCCATGTTTTGAGATATACTTACCAATATAATGCCTTTGAGGATATCATCTGTATAGTATGCAGGTTCCGATTCTTGCTGAGACAACAGAACATCTACTGGTGTTTTGCTCTCTTTTCGATCTTTCTTATCTTCCATTGTACTACTAGTTCTAAAAGAAGAACTAGACCTTCTGCTTCGAACATCATCGATCATATTCTGCATAAATTTGTCCCTCTTCTTGAACAATTTTAACATAATCTTTTCAACCCTCCAATGATCAATCCATTTTAAAGATGGAAATAAATCTCCTATTGCAACAATCCCATTCACAACAAATAAGCTTTCCAATTCGTTCATAGTATCTCTACCCTTCTCAGGATTCACTATCTCGTCATCAACAAAAAATGGTTTCATCCCTAGTATCCTTGTCAAATTATTATATGTAAGCTTGGCAAATATTAATTTCAAGTCTACCTTCATAAACTCGCCACTGTAACCTTTATACATTTCTCGAACCACAGCACTAACTTCTTCATTACGCACCTTGGATGACACATCCAGACTAGTTGTGGAGAAAATTTCTGTAGTAGTTAGACGCCTGAGATTACGCCATAAATCACCATATGGTGCCATGGCAAAGACAGTATAGTTGTAAAAAAGGTGTTTTCCAGCAAGTAGGCGAGGGCGATTAGCAAATATGATATCGTTCTTGGTGAAGCATTCTTTGATGGCTGCAGGAGAAGAGAGGACCAAGACTGGTCGTGCCCCAAACCGAATAAATAGGATGGGACCATATATTCGCAGAAGTTTGGCTATAGTTATATGGATTGGTTGTTTGAGAAGATGCAAATGACCAATTATAGGAAGACTTGGAGGGCTTGGAGGTAGATTCTTTTGTTGATACTTTGTGTGCAATAGTTTGTTAAAAATAAAAAGAACTACAAGAATCAGGACAACTAGATACTGGATTCCCATCTTTGCCTTCAATATCAGTTATTCAGCTTGATTCCTCCCACTGTATGCCTTACTTTATATAACAAATGTAAGAAGTCGCCATACTAAAAGTTTGGCACACTGCGTAAACAGCAAGGTTTGACGTCTTATTCATACGTTAATTAAGGTGCTCCAGCCAGATGCATTACAGTTTGAGGTCTTTGTTTTTGTCTGTTTAAACCGGTTTGCTGGCCCAGTGTCATGTAATGAACAAGGCATCTTTAGAACTTCCAATAACCATTCTGAGACCAAACAGAAACTTTGTACAAATAGTTAAAAAGAGCGAGAGTGTAAGACGGCGATTAACATTACGTAGTTGGACATTTGTATCTACTGCATAGTTTGATATATACAAAAGAAAATAGAGCAACAGCCAACAAGGTATTTTATTAACCTTGAGATTATAACCCATCTGAAGTCTTGCCGACCAGCACAGAAGAGTTAGGATTTTTTTTTGTCGAGTCATGAACAACATAGGAATCAAGATTTCTATCCTTTCTCTAGATTACAAATGTAAATTAAGGAAACAGCAGTACCTTATATATTGGACCAAAAAATAATTATGTATATTATTCTTTAATTCAATTTATATACAAATTGAACGAAATGTATGGATAAATACAATAAAAATAAGATAAAAATGGAACAGCGGCATGGAAGAGAGCGGTACCATCAAAATGTTACAAGCTGCCAGAGACATCTGTCCATAGAAGTATTCTTCTGGGACGGTCCAGAAACCTTGCTTGCCAAGAAGGTTCATCATCTTCGTATGTGAAACCACTTCTTAAATACAGTTTTCTTGCTGGTTCATTATCAACAGCGACATGGACATATAGATCAGTTATACCTGAGGCAAAATAGAGAAAAGGTTGGAAAAGGTTGGAGATGGGTGAAGAAAATTGATACCAAACGTAACAAGCTTAAGAGATTGTTAAAAGCCTATTCATCCTCAGCAGGAAGTAAACAGAATGGACTACCGTAGCTGCTGTCAGAGAACTTGCATTTGATTTCCGTGTTATCTGCTAGATGTTGTTACTCACTGCGGGAATCTCCTTTTGTTGTGTTTGGCAGATTAGCGTTATTAATTCTAATAAGATACTATTGGAGATAACAATATTATTGGAGATAACAAGACAACTCTTAGGTTACATCAGATTCAGAAGCCAAAAATATTGAAGCAAGTATTTTCCAATAAAGTGCGATGTCTGGGGTAGCTATTAACTTTTCTCTTTCCTCCAATAAGATATAACATCCAAACATATATCAAAATTAAATCCTCCCATTTCACTTAAAACGAACATTTTATGTAATCTTTCTCCTGAAAATCCATGATGACAAGTGTTCTGGAATTAATATAAATATCTAATTTTATGGATAATGTACTGTCATTTCCTGATTCTGAATAAGGTTGACAATAATGACAATGACAAGTACAAAAGTATAGTAAAGATTGTTACCCCATTCTTGAGCAACTATCTTTGACTTGGCAACAACTTTAGATCCCACGCCGTTTTTTTGCAGCTCCTTGGCAACACACACATTGCTCAAATATGCTCTTCCAATATCAGACCCTAAACCCTATTCAAATTTATAGGAGGAAGAGAGGGTAGGTTTCGTTAGGGAAGTTTAAAATAGAATTAAAATAAGCCTCATTTAGTACGAAGTAAGAACTTTCCACTTTGGGTGTGGGTTTTACAAATTGTGTCAGATGTACGTTAAAATGTTTGATAGTGTGATGTGTTACTTGTGTACAGAGTTCAGTGTGTTTGCGATGTTTGGAAAGGGATGAAATGCACAGAGATATATGAAGAGCATGCTAGTTTCATAGTTGGGGATGATGTGGTGTCCAGTGTGGTTTTAGTGTGACTTCGACTATAACTCTATGTAAATAATATTCAATTGTTTTTCTGTCCAGAAAAGAAAATCCTGAGAATATAATAAAAGCGGAAGAGTACGACTTTTGATCATATTTGAATTAACCCTGTCTTTATACTTCATATGAATCCGATTATAAACTCTTTTTCATTAGGATGGCAAGAAGATCAACATAGATTTCACTTTTCACAAAAAGAATGTAATTTCCAACTACATACCTCTGGCCTCTTTCCTGTAATTTCATCTGGAAGCCTCAAACACTGGTTAAGATCAAGGGACCCAATCACTATTCTGTCTTCTCCATTGTCAGAATACTACAAAAAGATGATAAAGACAAGTTAATTACATATAGGAGAGAAAATAAAGTAAGATCATATGTCACTGCATATAACAATAAAGTTTGGCACATATCGAAATAAATACATTAATGATAAGACGTTTCGAATAAAGATGAGTTCAATCTGCATGATTATCAGTTTATAACATACCCTCAGTTGTTATTTATAAATCAAATAAGACCCATTCGATATATACACCCATGGAAAATATCAATCTAAGAAACAAATACATCAAAGCATAATAGAAGGACATTAAAATGAAAGTCATATAATCATCAGTAAGTTGTGAGTTCAAACCTTACATACAGAGCATAAATCATCTGAAGAGTTCGACATTTGTGATAATGGAACAGTCGCATTTATGCAAGAAACCCTTTTAAATCCTATCCTTTTACCAGCTATGCGCTCCTTTAATGCATCAAATTCACGTTCGGCCAAGTACTTTATATGATCCTAATAGAACTTGACAAAGAATAAATGTCATCAATAATATTAATAGAATGTAGAATAAATAATATGTACTAACAAGACTTACTAACATTTTTTTAGATTATATAGGATCTGCAATGAACAAGATTATTAATTTCTAATAGAAACACGTAAAAATGTCAAACCTCAGCTTATATGGTGGAAGTTGATAACTTCGACACCACTATCAGTTCATTAGGCGATAAAAGTCACTTAAGATGACAAGTTCAAAAATCTTTCAGAGTCGTCTGACGACCAAATATGCAAGTAGTCAAGTACCACTCAGACTTGCACCTGGTTTTAAC